ACCGAATTTATTCACAGTTGATGTCCCAAAAGTTCATTTTCCGGAATGCAGACTTCCCTTCCGACCCCCTCCCCTGTTTGGTGGTGAAATTCCCCAATAGCGAAAGCGACCCTGTGGACACTCTATCAATGTTCGGGAGCACACCGCACGTTCGTAGGGACAGTGTTGATATCAGTAAAAGTCAACCATAGGAGAGGATCCACTATGCGCCTCAAATGCCGTTCTCTCTTCGGTTCACATGACGTAAGTTGTATAAAAATCTGCTGAGATTTTGTAGGCCCCTATAGTGCATTCCACACACTTGAGGAAGGCAGTCGGACCGATTCACCTTTCACTTCCGAACCACCTCTTTAGAATGATTGAATCCGTCATTCCGCGAGAGATACCCCTACCTAACAAACTCCGTGATGGAGTGGAAAGTCAGAGTGAAACCATAAACAAACATTTATTTTGTATGGTTAACGGAAAACAATACAACGTTGACATCAGATTGTATGAGGCCAATTTGGATTTCTCACACAAACGTCACAACAAAACATTGGAAGCTCAGAATACAGCGATTTTCAGGCAGCGTGCCAAGTTGTGTCACGCGGAAACGCGAGTGTACACAACGTCATTACGATTAACCTCATCCACCACCTGAAAAATTGGGGAAGCAAAATCAGACTTTTCTAACCGTCAGTTATGTAAATTCCATTAAAGTTGTGTAGCGAAAAGGCTCTGTAATAAAAAATGTATTACATGTTTCACGAATCAAAATCCTTTTTCACTCATGTGTGTCGCAACCAGCCTTCACGTGAATCGGATGCTCTCAGCAAAAGCTTCAAACTCCCAACTTGTACTTATGCGGTATCTTCTCCAAGCTACTCCCAAAAACTACGATGTTCTTGTACCTTTTCGCGCGTATTTTCGTTACGACAGTACCTTAATTGCTATTGTTTTATACGAGAACCAATTTTTACATTCAAAATGCATTTTGAATTATTCGCCCGGACAGCTTTTAGAGGGAGATGGAAGGTCGGTTTGCAGATCCATTCTATATGATTTCACAATGCAAATCCGTGGTTCGATGAGCCGGCCCACTCTGTAGATGTTTTTGAATAGAACCCGGACTAGTAGACGGAGATTAGCTGGACTCGAGAAATTCGTAGGCTACTCTCTGACCACTACGTTGCTGATCCAATTTTTAGGTCCTACCCTTCTGCACAAAAGGGATTGTTCTGAGATTTCAATCGTCTGCTCTTCGGCAAGACCAACGATATTTAGTGAAACAATATTCATAAAGTTCCCATTAGGATGTCGTCTGCTGAGGAAAAAGTACGGTTCTCATGGTAGTAAGAGGCCAATAGATCCTTTCTCGGTTTCGAAAACTCGTGTTGATCATCACGGGCATATCAAAGAGGTCAGTCGGACCAGTCAGTCAGTAGTGTTATTCTAGGTTATTGTAGTTCACAGTAAGTCAGAAGAGCACGTAAGTACGGACACGGGTGTATTGTGTACACGCGGCCAAACTGGTCCGCTTTCGTGGCGGGACAGCAAACAGCTGGGTCACATATCCAGTCAACCCACAACGCTCACGCGAGCAAATCGCTCGGACACTCACCCAATCAGCCACTCAAGTCACACGCCAGATCGATGATCGAACGCCGAACGGACACGCACATGCGCAAACTGCCTGATACACCAAAGCAGCTACTACATAGGTGAAACTTCACAAATGTATGATGAGTCGTTTGAAGCCCCAGTTTTCATTTCCAAGTTAAGTTACCAGCATAGCGGAGTTTGCTGTGAAACCGTAGAACTCGCTTTTGATATGACCTCAGAACCTCAGAACGCTCGGAACCTACTGCTCCACCAAAATCTCAACAGGAAAGCCGGCAGGAATCCAAGCCAGTCAATCATTCAATCAATTCAGCAAAACCTGATGTGTGTTCTTGCACGCCACAGAAGCACGATCGAATGTGGTCAACGTTTAGTCATTTCATTGAGGCACGATCGATGTTCACTAACGCGGCGAAGTAAGAATTGCCTGCTGTTATTTTTTTGCTTTGCCGTGACTATACCCGTTAGGCTTTCAGGCTTCATCGCTTTACGAAGGCCAACATTGAGAGCCAAATAAGACGCTCTGGGTAGGGTGGTCAGTGTACCTATCCCACAAAAAAATCGCTGACGCGTGCACAGTGTGAAACCTGTGTCGAACTTCGGATAGCGACGGCAAAAATGTAAAAAAAAAGACAGCGCTTGCACTTTTATGAGGTCCTAATGGAGAAAGTCGATGTACCCCGGATATGCCTCATCCGTAAAGCAAGAAAAACACAATATCTATCAAACATTGGTCGGTACGCACCTGACATTTTCGAACAAATCAGTAAGTCATGCACCTATTGTGTTACCTATCAGATTTCAGTGGTTAATTATTAAAGAGTTGGAAGTTCCATGCCGCATCACAATTTTTTTTATTTTTCGTGTACCATTAAGGTGTAACTTACGTTGATTCTGCTGTTGCTGGTAAACTAGGTAACGTGAATATGAAATGGGGCATCAAATTCCAGTGAGTAACAATTTTTACTGCCGATGAGCAGCGCGTGGAATGCTGCGATCGTATTCAAAATTTGGACTCAAATTTCACTGTTGCATTTTGTAGATTAGGTAAGGTAACAACTGAAATGCACTCATAATAGTAACAATGACAGTGTTACACCTACATTGCTCATTGGTGTATGGGTCGGTTGAATGTAGTTAAGGTGTTATCGGGATTCTCATGTTTGAGCAGGATTGGTCGAAATACCTAGGTCAGTTTTGAGCCCTTAACCTTAAAGTCTGGAGTTGCATCATACGCTGAACATTGTGGAGTTCAACAGAGGTAAACGCGTTCCTACATAGTAAGCCATCAACGAAATGGGAGAGATAGCAACCAATCGTCTTCCTCACGCAACGTCCTAGCAGCGCATATAATATCACTCCAATAAGTTTCACTACATCAGTCAGCTCAAGTTTGATTAGAGCATGAAAACAAAACAGCGAATATCGAAGATCGGCAGTTTTATCTTCTATTGGGCTATTTATTTTTCAATGTATCGCTACCCGTTTATTTTATGTGCTATCCACCTATACCGATAGTTTCATTGTAAGAACTTACTCAGTTTGGTATGAGAACCAAATGTCTAGTTTAGCATATCATCGTTCTCACAACGATGTGGCCTGAAGCACACAGAAGCGGACCAAA